ATTCTAGATCTAGACTATATCATATCTAGAAGTCAAGAAGTCTTGATATTGTCTAGATCTAGATTCTATATATATTATATATTCTGGATCTAGTCTAGACTTCTAGACCTATTAAGTAAATAGAGCGTCTATGATTAGGATTAATAGGCCTACTAGTGGGTAATTTTGTATTAGCCTATGCTGTTCGCATGGAAACCTGTTAAGTTGTGCAGGCTCAATTTTTAATTCTTGCTACCTCTACTCCAATATATTAATCGAAATTGTTGGGAAAAAGTAGGTATCTTGGAGCAGTGGCGTCATGGGGGGGGGGGCGAGCGTGCGGTCCGAACTGGTCGACACCATTTTGGGGGTGACAACCAAGTTGAAAAAATTATATCTTAGTAAAAGCAGACACATTGGAAAAGATAATAATAAAATCTCAAGATATATCTTGGAGCAGTGGTGTCAATAGGAGTGTGCGAGAGGTGCGGTCCGCACCGGTCGACACCATTTTGGGAGTGACAACCAAGTTGGACAAATTATAACTTGGCAAAAGCAGACACATTGAAAAAGATAATAATAAAATCTCTAGATATATGCCCAAATATGCCTTGACACATTTAGATGGTAATTTAAGTGTAAATGATACGGCACAACATTATACCATTTAAAGTATAACAAAAGAAACCTGTTCATATCATATTAAGTCTGTTTATAATTTTATTTAAATATTATTGTAAAATTTTCAATAACATTCGAATAAATGTAATAAACATTGGGATTTTACATTTGAGTAAAAAGCAATAAACGTAGGTATTGGTTAAAAAAAAAAACAACTAGTAATAGTATTCATTGGAACATATTTCAAGAAAGTTGATCTGGAGGGATGACACCCTGAGCTACCGCACTAGGTGCCACCGACACTGTATCGGGAGGTTTCCATGCTGATCTTAGATGATCACTTAACGCTACTCTACTTATTCCAGAAGAATTAGAAGAGTCTTATCAAAGATAACGTGTTGCATTGTTTGCTTTTATTAAAAATAATGCCAAATTTTAAAATTTCTTTAAACGATCAAAATAAGATAATGGCTTGAATATATTTCTCATCCATTGGTGAATTTGATTGGGGGGGGGGGGGCCTCTGAGTTAGTGTGTAATCTTTTTTTTATATTTTTACTTTAACTTTTATTTTGTAGTTTTTTAGTACATTACTTTTATATTGATGTAAGTGTTAGAGTCCTAGTAGGCCAGGGATGTTTGTCAAATCAATGTATTTTTGTAGAAATGAAATCATTTGTGAAAACGGTGATAAAGACAATGTTAATTAACTAATCCTATACAAAGTTTTCTTTATAAATGATTAGCTATACAAACACGCTTTGATATATGCATACTCGCTACATAAATGCATCACCAGGGACCACATTTTGATGCTAGAAAATAGTGAACCAAACGAACTAAGGGAGTGACTTGAGCACGAACTAGGGAGCCTCTGAGACGACAATGCCGCCTAGCAGCAGCACAGTGCTATCAAACTAGCTAGATTCTAGACCCGGGGTCGGCAACCTGCAGCTCGCGAGCCACACGCGGCTCTTTGGAAGTGAAGCTGCGTCTCTTTAGTTCCATAGGCATATATTATTTATCTTATTGAAAAAAAAATTCAAATAGTTCTGAATCATTTAACGAGGATTTAGACACCGATTCTGTCTCTCAGCCAATTGCACTCGCTTTTGCTAAAATGTCTTCAAATGTAACATATTTGCATATTCAACTTTTTCTGTCTTATCCATTGCTATAGATAAGTCTTGTGACATAAAGACACGGCAAAAGTTGCCCTCTTTGCCAGGAATATGTCTTCACAAGGTCCAAAGGAAGAACTTCTAGGATTGCTAGCGTTCTCTGGACAAACTAGAAGGGAAGGCAGAGCGTATGCCATGCAAACATGCCTTGAAGATATTAAGCTCTATTTAAATAAAAATCGTTTCAATAGCAACTGATGGAGCCAGACGTATGACTGAAAACATAAAAATGCAACAACGATTTTCCGGAGCAAAATAAACCGCGAAATTCTTACATTTCACTGCAAAATACACCAAGAAGCGCTTTGTGGCCAAACATTTCCGGCCGAAATAGTTGAGGTCATGAATTTTGTAATCGAAATTGTTAGCAGCATCTTGTCAAAAGCACTCTACCATCGTCAATTTAAAGAATTGTTAAATCAAATGGAGACGCAGTATTCCGAGGTCCTTCTGCCTTTTAAAGTGCAATAGATTTCCAAAGATAAGGTGTTGAAAAGTTTTGCATTGCTCTTGAAAGAAAGAAATACATTCCTAAATGAAAAAGGCATTAATCACCATGAATTAAAGAACGACAATTGGTTGCAAAAATGTTTTTAGTGTATAAAACAATAAAACTAAATGAGCCGAATCTAAAACTGCAAGGAAGGTGAAACCAAGTCGATGTTTTGAAGAAAAAAAAATTTTTTTTGCTGAAAATATTTAGAGCAGTAAGTTATTTCCTTTTCAATTTCTAAAGCAGTTTCGTAATAAAACCAGTGCAACCTTTGGCACGAATTACTTCGGCACGGTTATAAATGAAAAATGAATTTGTTGACACACTGAAGCAGTTCAAAAACCAACAAAACCATTCTATATCCTCTCAGCACAAATAATAACGAAATCCACATTGATCCATTTGGAACTGATACTCGATCTCTAGAAATGCAATTCGATGTAAAAAGTAAAGCTTTGTGAAGTGGAAAATGTACAGGGTTGAAAAGGAAGTCTTGGAAGTCCAGAAATGTATGTACGTAACGCAACAATAGTGCAGCGAGCTGATTCGGCGCATGGAATAATCTTCCAGATAGCTAGAGTGAGGTGGAGAAGTTAACATTAGGAGTGATGACTTTATTCGAATCGACTTGTTCATGTGAGCAATAAAAAGTAATGTGATGTACATTGTGATGCATGAACATTTAGAGTCGTTTGGGTTAGCGTTTCACTACTAAACTAAAAACAAGTTATTCTACTATTTTTTCTTATGAATAAATATATTCTTTTTTTTTTTTAATAATTATGTGTGTACTGTTTATTGTTGGCAAGAAAAAAAATATTTGTGGCTCCTTAAAAATTTAAAAATTTTGTTAATTGTAATTTTTGGCTCTTCCGACTCAAAAGGTTGCCGACCCCTGGTCTAGACCATAGAGATGTCTACACACAAATGTCTTTCTGATCCAAGGCATTCCCAAGCATCTCATTGCTAACCCAGTTATGAATACAAATGTAAACACATACACAGTGCACATGTGTTTATCTGTCAATCATACTATGAATAGAAAATGTATGTATCGATTTAGATAATCTTTCAACCACATATCACATTATCAATAGATCATTTATTAAAGCATATTCATCAAACTATATGTCTATCACGCTACTTATCAACTCTCATCAATCAATGCTAATCTACCAAACAATCTATCAATAATGTATCGGTTTTGATACACTCAAATCGTATCTATCAAATTATGTTTCAAAAATGTAACAAATCTTTGAAACTGTGACGTCCCGACCACGGCCTGGTGGCCATATCCAACCCCTGGAAAACTCTGCTCACACTGAGACTCCAACTTTTTGTGACGCGGCCCGTGACACGCCAATCAGAAATGCCCCACCTCCACTAACATAATTTGTATAATTAGCTTTGTTGGCTATTTAAACAATTATACTTGTTTGTTTTTAATTGTCAAGAGTTTTATTGCCCTCTCTCTCTCTCTGTCTTTCTTTCTCTCTCTAACTCTAACCTTTACTCAAAACACACAAACACTTGCAGACTTTGTGTTCAACTTGTCTGAAGATTGTTTATCCAATGAATCATGACAATCTTGATCTAAGACTAGATAAAATTGGCGCAACGAATTAACCTTTATCAATGAAAGTTCATGAACGCTCAATTATCCCTGACACATATATGTATACGTCTAACAGGAGTCCCACAATTTGTTATTTCCCCTACTGAGTCGCTCTTCAGTTTTATTTGCTCACTAACTAAACGTAACAGTTTCATTTCTTCACCTGGCTGCTAACTCCTCCCCTTTTCTTCTCATTCGAAACTTCACTGGCATGTGTAGACTCCAAGGTAACGAAAGTCAAAGGGCGGGGTGGGGTTGAATACGATGGGGAAAGAAAGGGGGGGGGGGTAACCCAGCTATCGTTGGGATATTTATAACTTAGCAGGGGCCAGGAGTAACTGTTCTTTGTGATGCCATGATACGTACATGTGTAGACAATTGAAGTGGAATAGTTCTCAACCAAATAAATGGCATCACATTTTGTCTGCTTCAATGTGTTAGACATTTATGTTGCAATACGTTAAAAGTTACTGATGGCAATAAAAGACTTTGTCAACCGAAAACATAAGTCTACATTTTGATAGCCCTGAAAGTCAATTCAAGTTATTAGTTATTATTCAGGTAGCAGATACAGGCAACCAAATAATGAGATAGATAGATAGAACTATTTCTCTCCATGCAGTATGTCATTTATACCACTAAAAGATTTTCATGTAATTACAAATCTTTTTTCTTTTTTTTTCTATAAGAAGTTTTAAAAGTGTATTTTCAACCCAATCCTACATGATTGTTAATATGACATTTTAAATGACACTCTTATTCATTTCATTCCACAATTGTTTGTTTAATCACGAGAATAAAAAGAACAAAATGTACTAGTAACTCATTTGTACTCACCATTGTCTGTAACCTGGCACTTGTAAGACAGTCTGGTCTGAAGTAGTAAAGATGGTTGTCAAATAATGAGCTACTAGTTGTACCTTCAATAGGAATGTCTTGTCTCTGAACTCTTGAATGTCTTGTCACTGAACTCTTGAATGTTTTGTCACTGAACTCTTGAATTCTTGTCACTGAACTCTTGAATGTCTTGTCACTGAACTCTTGAATGTCTTGTCACTGAACTTTTGAATGTCTTGTCACTGAACTTTTGAATGTCTTGTCACTGAACTTTTGAATGTCTTGTCACTGAACTCTACTTTTCTCACGTTGATAAAAATGTTCAATTCCAGGCTTTGAATTGTTAGTAGTTGAATGTGCTACAGGCCAGAGAGATGCACGGTTGAGTGACGCTACCCGCACAAAACAGCTATGACTAACTTCAGAGGATGAGCGCCTGTTTTATATGCTTCTACCTGGGGAGACTCTCCCCTCTACCTACCTGTGGGTGTGGAGAAAGTTTCTGGGTAGCTTTTTAGAACTCGCGGCGTGTGAAATAGTGGACTTGTGTTTTGTGTACGTCACACATTTGTAGCAGCTTTATGTTGTACTGGCAATAAGTGCAAAGCACACAATAGTTGTAATTGATTGTTGTACTTGTGTTTGATGTAGAGTGCACAACTCTATAATGTAGCATTTTTGCGTTTAATATACATTTCTAGCAACTCTATAATGTAGCCTACTTGTGTTTGTGTTTATTATGCATCTCTGGTAGCCTCATTATCATCATAGAGCAGCTCAGTAGAAATCAACTCTTTAATTTTAGCACGGGACATCAAGCGCTCTATGTTAAATATGCTGCCACCGGTGCGAAGCCTGAGAGCCATTGACAAGCCCTTCTTAAAGACAGGCACAAAAGACCAAAAAAAGTTAAAATAGACAACGACTGTGTCTGCTCTGCACTAGATGCGGAATAATATTGACAGTATTTCAGTGACTTGATTTCCATTGACTGTAATTCATTTTCATTTGCTAATTGACTTTAATTAATTAATTGACTTATTGTAGCTTTAGAGTTTCGTTTTTCCATTGGTTGTAAGTTGTAACTCATGACTTCCTGTCATTGACTCTAATTCGTTAACTTCATTTTTCTTTGACTCTATTTTTTAGACTTCATTCCAATGATTGTAATTCATTGACTTCATTTTCATTGACTGTGTTTCCATTTACTTTATTCATATTGGAATAGATTATTTAAAAAAAAAATAAGTTTCACATTATCTCCCTCTACCACTCTAGGCCTAAGATTGTGTCCGGGTTGTCAAAAGGAAAGGTTAAGCTGAACAAGTCCAACATCAAATATCGTGTCTCTTCCATGAGCGTTTCACTGAGACAGACGGATGAACAGAGAGACCACTTATGTGAACACGCTCTCAAAGCAATCAACGTCTCTTTCATCTACTTTCCCTTCAAAAATGAACGTGTCAGTGTAACCTTGTTCTCAGGGAACTGAACGACGTGTGTGTGTGTGTTTTGTTCAATAGGAATATGAGTCAAGCCTGAAGAGAAGGAATGGAGCTGAAGTTGAACAAGGCGATACGTTTGGTTCAAATGAGTCCTTCATCCAAAGACTGTACATTGAAGAGAACTAGCAGTTTTTGCATGGCTCTGAGGACAGATGTGCGCTCATTATTTTGCCAGAAGATTACGCAGATGAGACATCGGCTGTTGGATGTCGGTTAAAATTATCGCTTACGACAGTAGCAGTACTTTTGAGGTCTAAAGAATATTCTTCGCGTTCTATAAGTTCTCTTGCTGTCACTTTAGTTATTGCCAAGTGTTTTCTTACTTTTTAAGTTCTCTTGCTGTCACTTGAGTTGTTGACTTATCTTCAAGCTCTCTTGCTGTCACTTGGGTTATTGACTTATCTTTTTCTCTTGCTGTCACTTGGGTTATTGACTTCTTATCTATGCTAATTAGGTAAAAACTGGCATACGCTGGTCAGGCTTTTAGAATGACCTCTGTTTCGCTGTCCACTCTTCATGGAATGCCGTCGACCCAATGTGAAATAGATGTCACGCAGTCACTTTGTTGTCACAAATAAGCATCGTTCTATTTTTTTTTTATCCCTTATGGACACAATGTTTCTTAAAAGTTGCAAACTTTAAGTTTAACTTTTAAAAAGCCAAGTGTTTAAGTTTTTAAAAGTTTAGTTAAAAATTTAAAACCAATGTTTAATTAATTTTTGTTAGTATAGCTCCATGGTTAGACCTACAAACTAAAATTTGTAAACTTTTTCAACATATTCAACGTCATTCAGCAGCCTGTCAGCTTATCCAACAGTCTTTAAAAAGATCAACTCAACACTTTAGCAGCACTGAAATGTTCAAGTCACAGATGTAGAAATCAATTATTGTGTAAAATTTCAGCTTGATCTGAGATTGGGCGTGAAAGAAATAACGTGCACAGACACGGACCAAGTGAACTGATGTAAGCTCTGTAGAAATTGATCACGTGATTATTCTTGAGCCCAACAAAATAAGTCCTTAAAGAAGCCATGTTGTTTTCTCCCCAAAAGTAATACTTGTCCCTTATTGGTCTCTAGCTGGTCACATGACCTGCTATGAATGGGATTTCCTTGTGTGTGACGCTATTTTCAAGACGACTCACATGGGCTGCTAAGAAGTCTAAATTAAAATTTCATTCATTAAATAATTGAATGCAAACTGATAATACACAATACGTTATTTAGCTTTTAAAAAAGTACATTAGATTAAGAACATACTATTTGATGCTATGCTTAAGTCTTGTTATCAATTTACATTCGATTTTCTATTTGATTTCAGTGACTTTCTATTTCAGATAATGGGATAGAGCCTACTAGAACTACAGCGTGACTACTGCGTTACAGTGTTGTAGAAGAAAGGGAAGGCCTACATTCAGCCAGCTCCTCTCGTGTGTGTAGAGACTGGCGTGATACCTTCCTTACACCTGACTTGACCTACTCGTGCAGTAGTACACTGACGTAGGCCATGAGAAATGGAGGTTTCATCTTTGGCAATGAACTTGAAACTCTGGATTACGTCACCACGACCAACGGTCAAAAGTTCAGCTCACGTGCGTAAGAAAACACATTCAGTGAAACGTGAGCATTAATGATATCGTTGGTAGTGCGTTGTAGCTCGCACACAATGAGAAGTCTACTGCAAGCGATGCTTTTAGCAAAGGTCACATGACATTAAAAAAAATATTTCTTCGTGACAACTAGAGGTACTTATCGTCCACGTGCTTGTGTGTGTGTGTGTAATACTTTGAAAGGTTTTGATCAACCAACTTTATAATAGACAACCAATAGTTGTAATGATTAACTTATGTGGCCATTTAATGGTGTAGTGATCAAGTTATGTGTCCATTTAATGATGTAATGTTCAATTTATGTGGCCATTTAATGGTGTAGTGATCAAGTTATGTGGCCATTTAATGGTGTAGTGATCAACTTATGTGGCCATTTAATGGTGTAATGTTCAACTTATGTGGCCATTTAATGATAATTATAATAATTATCATAATTATAATAATCTTTATTGTCCGTAAGGAAATTTGTCTTACAATTTGTGCATTACACCAAACAACACACTGTAACTATAAAAAAAAAAAAAATTTACACCAGACTTACTCATAATTTACATTGATAAGTTTATATCAGATTGTTTCTATTTAATGATTTGATTGCCAGGGGAACAAAAGAGTGTTTGTCTCTTTGTCTTTGCTATCGGTGTCTTGTATCTCTTTTGTGATGGTAAAATCACGTCCTGGCCCAAAGGGTGATTTTTTATTTCTAGAATCTTTTTAGCTTTTTTAAGGATGTTTGTTTCAAACAGCTGCCCAAATGGGTTTTGTTTTTTTGTGCCAATGATTTTACTAGCAGCATTTAGGATTCTATAAAGTTTATTTTTATTTTTAATGCTCAGATTTGCCATACCAAGCAGTGATATTAAAACTTAAAATATTGCAGATGTGAGCGTGATAAAACATAGCCAAGACCTTATCACTAACATTAAACATGGACCGTTTTCTCAGTAATCGTAATCTTTGCTGCCATTTTTTGCTGATATGATCAGTATTTGTAGTAAAATTAGTTTATTGTCTAGGATAATAACAAGGTATTTAGAAGTTTGTACTATTTCAATAGTCTCTCCAGCTGCAGAAACAATATAATTTTCCTTCTTTTCCCTACGAAAATCGATTATCATTTCTTTGGGGGGTATTTTGACATTTAATAATAAAAAATTATCTTTACAGTATTTTTCAAGTGTTCTATTTCTTTGAAATACTCATTTACGTCTGAGCTCTCTGAGAGCAGGGCAAGAAGAGCCGCATCATCAGCGAATTTTGTGACGGAGCAAAAAGGACTATCGGATTGAAAATCATTGGTGTACAAAATGAATCACAATGGCGATGTCACAGCTCCTTGTAGCGCCCCTGTGTTTACTATAACCCGCTGAGGTCTCTGGGACAAAAACTCATTTTCGATAGTTTTATATATGGACTATTCTTCAACGCTTTCATTTTTTCAATAAGTAAATGAAGTTGTATGGTATTAAAAGCTGATGAGAAATCAATAAAGAATAATCTTACATAAGTGTTCGGTAAGTCCAGATGTTTGTAGACACAATTTAAAATATTTGGATGGCATCGTAAACATCGTGAACCTTTTGGTAAGCAAATTGTAAAGGGTCTAACTCATTACAAAGATCATTCAGAAGTAACATTTTAACCAGTTTTTTTCTAAACATTGAGACACAATGGAAGTAAGTGAAACAGATCTGAAGTCATTCATTTCCTTTGGTTTGGAAACCTTTGGCACAGATACTATTAGGGACGAATTCCACACAGATGGCATCTCATGGTTTAGTAATGAAGTGGAAGAAATCTCTAGGAAAGGTTCAGCTAGTTGTTCAGCACATTCTTTTAAGATTCGCCCATTTATTCCATCAGGCCCACAGCTTTCGTTGGGTTGACGTTTTTGCAAATACTGCAAACTTGCTCTTTAGTAATCGCTAATTCTGAACAGTTGTTAACATTGACATCTTCCAGTGCTTTGAGTCTTAGATAGTTAAAATCGTTAGTGTCGAAACAATAGAAATAGAAATAGACAATAGAAATAGACAATAGAAATAGACAATAGAAATAGACAATAGAAATAGACAATAGAAATAGACAATAGAAATAGACAATAGAAATAGACAATAGAAATAGACAATAGAAATAGACAATAGAAATAGACAATAGAAATAGACAATAGAAATAGACAATAGAAATAGACAATAGAAATAGACAATAGAAATAGACAATAGAAATAGACAATAGAAATAGACAATAGAAATAGACAATAGAAATAGACAATAGAAATAGACAATAGAAATAGACAATAGAAATCATTGAACTCGTTAGATAATGTTTTGTCTTCTCTTGTATTATTTTTACTTTTGACTTGTG